TGCCCTGGACCTCCCCTGGATCCCCTGGAGTCGTGATCCTTCATCACTGTACATATGTATATATCTTACCTGGTGGTTCTGTAAAGAAACCTTCCTTTACCTGTGTGACTCAGAGTCCTGCATTGAGTCCAGCCTGACCAGCTGTGACAGCAGGATTAGACCACTGTGGGATTGGTTAGTTTTACCCTTCTGATGATGTACAGGCTTTTTATTTAATCCAATCCTCATTTAGAAAGATGCAATATTGGGTCATAGCTGTGCATGTTGAATTACACCAAGAAGCATGTAGTATGTAGTATTTTACATGTATGTTAGATGTGGAGTGTAAGAGAGTAAGGTCAGCAAATTTTAAGAGTGAACCTGAGATGAACATCACTGTCTGCTGTGTGTAAATGTGTACCAGATGCATTGTACCATTAATTATACAGGTTGTGGAAGAAATCATTGACTGTTGAAGAGGAAGCATAAGGAATACTCCTATTGTAAACATTTTATTTTTGCAACTAACTGAGTTGTTCACTGTTACTTGGACCTGATGTAACTGGTAAATGGACTGGTTCTTACATAGTGCTTTTCTACTCTACCTGACCACTCATTGCACTTTATGCAGTTTGCTTCATTCATCCATGTGCCATCTTTCTCTTCTCCAGCTGTTACCTTGTTGCTCTGATGTCATGTGGATCAGGTCACTGACTGTTGTCTCATTGATATGTTTTAAGATATGGCCTCTGGCTCCAGGAAGGGGAGGTCCCTGTGACTTGTAGGAGACGTCAGAGAGCAGTGAACACGAGTTCCCAATCATACTGCTCAGCTTCTCCCACTGGTCTCTGTCCTTATGAATTAACAGACACAGGAACATGAATACACAGCAATATGAACATGTTGTTGACAGCAAAACTATATTTAGAGAAGACACAGAAATAGTCCAAGATTTATTTACTAGCCCTGCTTACCTCTTTCCTAAATGGGTCTATTAAAGCCACCACTGCTGGGTATTTGCTGATGAGGGTTTGGTACAGGTCGACTAACTCATCGGGCGATTTCAGAACTCCAGTTGCAACTTCATACTTCCCTTTAGACTACAAGAGATTAGAGAATCCATCAAGACGATAAATCTTGTTGTTTTTTTAAACTGATATGCTTATGATGTATTTGCTTTGAAAAAGTTCACAACAACATGTCAACACATTATTTTCCATAAAGTGTTTGACTATTTTTGGTTAACTTACAGGGTCCAGGAGCTCATGAGCAGCACAGTTCAAAGCTAAATGGATCTGTGTGCCCAGTGGAAGTCCAAGGTTGGTGCAGGCTTCGGCGATCAGGTCCAGAGGCTGCTCGGCTCGCTCGTGGCTTACAGCCAGGGCCCCACTGTCACATACAAATGCTTCGCTGGCCTTGGAACAAGCACATGGTTCACATAAGTAAC